TCTTTCCAGCCACCAGAAAGGCAGTTACTATACCATATCTGAAAGTGTTAATGCCGTTTCCTCATGTAACTAGCCTACTCCTGGGGAGTAGCTTACACTGTGGGAGAATCTAGGTCAATGTGCATGACTGAAAATAGCTTAACAGTGAATCCGATATGAATTGAAAAAATAATGAGATGAAATCCTAGCCATGAGATACCCTGACTAGACTGATATTGAGTTTAAAAACCAAGCATCCTAGGTCTTGGAATACATGTAGTGGTCAGCACAATTTTCTTTCCTGGCCCTGTTGAACTGTTTTAAAGGAGCGCTGGATACTTAGATCCAAGTTCGGCCAAAGAGGCTGCCAAAAAGACAAAGAATCTTGCTCCATGTGGAGGCCAGACTGCAGTTGGAATGGAAATGAAAATTTCTAGTTAACTGACTCTACGTCTCTAGGCAATTTTGAGTTTTTATTCAGGACTCCATTACTGTCCCCTGAAGATATCATATTTCTTCAGGTTAATAATTTGACTGTAAAAAGAAAAGTTCAAACCTCTCACTGTTTTAATATTTGGTAAACAGAGAGATTATGTAGGCAAGTGAATAAAGAATTCTTTTTTATTTTGGAAAAAAATGGCTTTGGATTGCTTTATTTGTCAAAATTTTAAATAGAAAATACTGATTACTACCACATTTCTGGTTTTTGTTATAGGGAAATAGTTTACTGATAACTTAAATAAATTGATAAAGTAAGATCATTTTCTTAAATAAAAAATAATAGTTTATATTAACAGAATATTTAAAATAATGTTTTTTTTTCATTAATAAAAGGTATGATTAAGTAGTTGGAAATAATATCAACAATAAATGCTGTTCTATCATTATGCTAGCTAGGCGTAGTGTCTCTGAAAAGGAAAAGTGTCTTATTTTTGTCATAATCTTAAACTACTCAATTCTTTTCCATTGAAAGACAATTAATAACTGTTAAGTGGCTGGTCAACTTGCCAGATATCACTGCTAGATGTGTGATATACAAATGTATTCAAGACTTGTTTGCTACTGTCATGGATCTTCCAAGCTAATTGCATCATTGAGGGTGGTTAGTAAGGGAGTGGGACAAGGAAGCAGAAATGTTTGCAAACTAAATAAGTACTAAATAGAGGCATGGGTGCTGGGAAGACACAGGAAAGGGTAATAAATTTGACTTTGAGACTCAAGTATGGCCTCATGAAAATAATTTTGGTTTTGAATGTACAAGTGTTTGAGATATGGAGTAGGCATTTCAAATTGAAAGGACAGCATAATCAAAGGCATATGGAAGCATGAAAGTACATAATATAATTGGGAATACTGAATTAATCTGGTGTTTTGGGAGTTTAGGAGTTGAAGAAAACAAAACTGGGTAGTGATCAAGGTTGGCTGAGTCTAGATTGTTGAGTGTCTTAAATGGTAGTCTTAGTATTTTTCTGTTGGCAATGGGGAAACATGAATATGGAGTGACATGATTTAATCTAGAACTTTGGAAGATAAATATTAAAAATATAATAGTAGTAGCTAACATTTATTGAGTGCTTAGCATGTGCCAAACACTGTTCTACATATGCAATGTATATTAACTCATTTAACCCTCAACATAGTTCCATATGTAGTTTTCATTATTATTTTCCTTTATAATGAGGCATAGGAAGGTTAAGCAACTTGATAATGGTCATATAGCTAGGAAAGGGCAGAAACAAATTTTTGTACAGGTTAATGGCTTTAGAGTCTATGTTCCTGACTTCTACGCTATCTCTTGATCTATCCAATATAGAGGATTCAGTGATTAAATGAAATATTGAAGGTAGGAAGACCATTTAGTAGGTCCAGAAGAAGGATGATGAAAGCCTAAATGGGAAATTAGCAGAAGAAAAAAAAATGGAAGGATCAGTTTGAAGAACACTACCAAGGAAGAAGTAACCGATTTGGGAAATCAGCTGCACATTAGAAATGAAAGAAAGAGAGGAAATGATAATGACTTCAAGATTTTAAAATGGAAGAAGTGATGACTGTCAGTAACAAAGATAGGGACTACAGGGGGTATGTGTTGGGAAAGGGGTGATAATATGTTTGCTTGCTAATATGCTAAATGTATGATGCCTATGGTTCATTTCTGTGGCTATGTCAAGTAGGCATTTGAAAATAGAAGTCTCAAAATTAAAAATAAAGATAAAAGCCATATTAAAGTCATTGTAAGAATCTAAAAAAGAAAGGAAGGAAGGAAGGAAGGAAGGAAGGAAGGAAGGACGGAAGAGGAAGGAAGGAAGGAAGGAAGGAAGGAAGGAAGGAAGGAAGGAAGGAAGGAAGGAGGGAAGAAAATGTAAGTCTCAGACCCAGGAGAGGGATCAAGGCTGGACAAATTATGGAATTTTGTAGCCATTCAACTGAAATGTATTGAGTATCCATTATCTGCCCAATTCAGTATTAGAGATATCGTGGTGAACAAGTAAACATGATTTCTACCTTCGTGGAGCTTACCATGGAAGATAGACATCATTATATAAATTGATATATAATTTAAATGGTTACTAGCTCCATGAAGAAAAAGTCAATGGTAGAATTAGGCATTATAATAAGGATCTGACTTTAATTGTGAGACAGTGAAAACTTTTCTTTTGAATATATTTAATTTAAGGAGAAACCTGAAGAATAAGAAGGAGTTACCTGAGTTAAGGATTCTAGATGTATGTTCAGGAAAAGAGAAACAGCATATGTGGAAGTGCTGAGGTTAGAGAGAGCTGTGAGTATTCTTGGAACTCACAGAAGGTGAGAGTGATTAAATCTTAGAGAATAAAAGGGAGACAAACTCTGAGAAAAAAATTGTAAAGGGAATCAGAAACCAGATCATACGAGGCATTTTAGGCCATGTTAAGGATTTTAGAATTTATTTTAAGACAGTGGAAAATTATAGATGAATTTTAAGCAGAGAAGCATGGAAAGATTTGTATGTTATTGTGGCTTCTAGGAGGTAGGGCAGATTCTCAGGGTCAAAACAAGACATAGTTATTTATGAGGTTATATCAATAATATTTGTGAGAGATGTTAGGGATTCAGTGAACAATAGGTGAAAAATGAGAGAGAAAGAGATTTGAGAGATGACATCTAGTTTTCTTTTAATAATAATTGAGTAAACTGTTTCCAATCCCAGCTAAGTAGATAGAGATGGGAGCATTTAAGAATAGAGCTTAGTTTTGAAAATATAAATTTAAAAAGCCTGTAACAATTCTAATTGGAGATAATATATATACAGCTTATTAGTTTCTAGAGCTCAGAGTATGAGGTGTGGGCAGTTATGGAGATATGTAGCATGCAGAAGTTATTTAAAGCCATGTCAAATGGTTAGATTGCTATGATAAAATGAAAACATGAGAAGAAAAGGGATATCTGAACCAAGACTTGATGAACATCAATATTTAAAGATAGGGTCGAGGGAAAGGTGATACTGGTCAAAGTATTAGAATTATGTAGAACACTATAAGGTAAATCAAGAGAGTCTGGTATCATGGAAGACAAGCAAAGCAGACAAATTTTTTTTTATGTTTCTAATAAGTCAAGAGAAAGGACTTCAGAATAATGTCCATTAGATGTAGCATTATAGATATCAGAGGTGACCTTAATGAAAATAGTTCTGATGTGGTGGAGCCCAAAATCAGATTGGATTGAGCTGAGGAGTACATAGGAGATGAGGATGCACAGGAGAAATGCAAATAGACAATGCTCTCCCAAAGCTTGATTGTAAAGGAGAGAAAATAATTAAAGCAGGAGTTGGAATGAGATGTGGGGAAAAGGGAAGGCTTATTATTGTTATATTTTGTTTTAAATACAGTAGCTATTAAACATATTGGGATATGTAAAGGAAAATTTAGTAGGAAGAGAAGGAAAAAAAGATGAAAGCAGATAGAATGAAGTCCTTGAGAAGGCAGAAACTGAAGTCTGAAGTAAAAGTGAAGGAATTGGCCTTTGTTTTGTAGAAAGGATACACATCTTCATGGTAAAGAAATGACACAACAAGGACAGGGCCAGTACAGGTGGGCTTAGAGATTTTGTTGGGGGAAGATGAAGGCATTCCCACCTTATGACTACTTTTTTTCTCTGAGATTTATGAAGCAAGATCATACACTAAAGTCATGAGATAGATATGCAAACTTTGCGAGTAAATGAGTTGGTATAAGTCTAAAATGGATTGTGAAAGAAAAAAATATTCTGAGATAGAAACTTAAAGAATTTCCACATGTAAGGATCCAGAGGAGAAAGAAAAGTAATTACAAAAGAATAAGAATAGATGGACACAGAAGCAGAAGGAGAACAAAGAGTCTAGGCAGTAATAGGAAAGGGAAAAGTTTCCAGAAGTTTCCGACAGGAGAGTCGATAGCAGATGTCCTGACAAAAGCTATTGGGAAGATAATATTTTCTAAAATTTTTGTTATATGGTAAGAACTGTACTAAATGTTTCATATTAATTAGTTCATGTAATATTCTCTGCAGATATATTAAGTGACGTGTCTGAGGTAAAACAGAAAAGAGTTATATAGTAAGGTTTTTAATGTAGGAACGACAGAAACTGAAGCCCATGAACTTACCACTCTGGATACGGTCTTAAAAGGCTAGGTAACATATATTGGGCCCTTTTATTTGCAGAGATTTTTTCTAAGCATTTTATTTATAAAAGGGTTTATATTGCTATGGGAAATAGGAAAAAATAATCAATTCAAGATAAATAAAAAAAGCATAACAGTATTGGCAATTATCTAAGGTATAAGGATATGCTATGCTACAAAATCATAGTAAGGTACTTTACTGAACCCATAAATAAAATTATTTATTAAGTATATACATATTTTTTTTAAATAAAAATTAATAGATTAGATAGAGGTAAAATAGGGTTAGACTAATATAGTCTCTCAACTGTAGGAGTTTATAAACTAGAATTGACTCCATACAACTAAAAAACAATGGAGAAATCATTAAAAATAAATACATGAGTGCTCACTTTGGCAACACATATACTAAAATTGGAATGATACAGAGATTAGCATGGCCCCTGCACAAGGATGAGATGCAAAAATACATACATGAATAAAATATTGATACTAAGTAAATGCAAAGATACAAAGATAAAATAGAACATTTTGGGAGTTGGTTGTTCAGACAGGATCAAATCAGAATATCTCTGTCCTGAAGTTGGGCCAGTTAGATGGAATTTCTAGACCAAGATGATATTTTTGCCATATCTCCCTCTAGCATCCCAGGGAAAAAGTGTATTATGCACCGGGGGGTTCCTATTCTAAACAAGGTTAAATTAGAATGAGAATATATGATATTGCTGATGACATAAGGAAGGCCAGGGTGGGTAGTTCGAAGGTGAGGATGGAATAGAGGTGGTGTTCAGGGCTGTAATTAAGAACAGTCTTGCTGGTTCCAGATTCAAGTATAAGACTTTTATACACTAATAGCACATAAAAGTATAATGTGAGGAATATTTGTTACTATATCTAGTTATTTCGATACTATATCAATATCTATTGATCGATCGAGTGATCCATCTTCTACCTACTATTTTTCTGTCTACCTGAAACCTATATAGAAAAAAAAAATTCCTTTAAAGCTCTATTGGCAATGCCTTATAACAACTACAGGCAATATATTGCAGTTTCTATATTGGAAAATGATCTTCATGTTCAAGTAGATTGTGTTCAAGGAGATAGATTATGTTCACAGAATTTCATTGATTTGATTAAGACAGATACTGTTCATAAAATGTCTAGGACAATGACTGCTAAGTTGCTATTCATATGACAATTTCTCTTTTGGAGGAAAGAAAAAAAAAAACAATTTAATGCTGTTTATAGAGGTATCTTTATTTGCTAATCATTGTGAAGTAAAAATTCCAAGTCAGTAGTTCTCTAGAAAATGAGGTTTTTCACCATATTTTGATAAGTAACTGCATTTTACAATTAAACATTTTAAATACCTCTGTCTAATAAGATTAAGGCACTGAGATAAAGTAAGAATGTTTTGTGTATTTGTCGAATGGACATCAGTTTTCATGCAGGGCAAATCTCCTTATTTAGAAGATTTTTCTTGTCTGTTTCTAGACCTCTCCTCCTTTTATAGGGGAAAACACAGTTTCTAGAAATCTATGCATTATATAAAAACCCACAGTGGAGTGCGTCACGAACTTCAGTGAGAGTGGGTTTGGATTTTACTGCCATGAGAAGCATTCAGAGGAGAGAAATTCTGTTTCAAAATGAAGACAGCTAGCTAACTTGAAGTGAGTAAAGCTCCAGGTACAAAAGTCTGCCCCTACCACATGGAAATTTCTCTTCCTGTGACCCTTTGTTCTGTTAAGACCTTCTTGATTTTAGGGCTGTGGTTTCTGATGGGTGGGAATTGCTGGGAAAAGAATCCTGGGTGATTTTCCTATCCTTTCAAAATCTCCTTTAGAGTCTGGACATGTCAAGCCACTGCTAAATCCGTCTGGCATAACATTCCTGACAGGCAAAATTACTATCTTGGAGTTTGCCTTTACTAGGGCTTCTGTTTGAACTCCCTAGAAGCTGACATCCCCGTAGAGTATGAAATCCACCACACTGGCTGTCAACAAGCTGGCAGCTTACTGACTGTGTGTATTACCTGCTGAGTTGTTCTTCCATAGTAAAGACTCCTGCCTGATGATTTATCTCAGAAAAGTCTTGCAGATTAGCTAGAAATGAGCATTGTGCACCCAAATGAGAGTCTGATTCTAGCTCACCTAGTTGTTCGTTTCCTATTTTCAGTGTCCTTAGGACAAAGACCTACTGGGCTACCTTATAGTACACATCATTGTAGTCATCTGTCAGCTAAACTAAAGGTCCAGGAGCAAAATAGATCATTTGGGTCTATTCTGTGAAGTGGCAACACTGCAGAGAGCAGCAGATCAATAACTATTTATAAATAGATTTACCTGATTCATTTATCAATTAAAGGGTATGTCAGTGTGTGTTCCCATTTATGTATGTATACCTAACTAGTTTGGGATAAAATGGTAAAATATAAATGAAAATAAGCCTAAAAGCTCTCAATGAGAAGTCACTTATAATGTTACATAGCCAATTGGAAGTTAAGTAGGTGATAGATAGAGAAACAGAAATTAGAATAGATAGATAGATACATATATACATACATACACACATACATACATACATACATACATACATACATACATACATACATACATACTGGAAAAGAGATTGACACTGAATTGAAACCGAAATAGGGATTTGGGGCAGTTAATGGAAAATTCTGCTACAAACAAGATTTTGCTGCTTTCTTTTTCTATAACCACAACGTCAGTTTCTTCCTTCTCTCTTCTTTCTGCCCTTGCTTCTCCCTTTCATTGCTCTCCTTAATACTTGCTCAGCCCCTGGGAGGCTGCTGAGTGGCAGGGCTGGCAGCAGAGAGCAGATTAGCAGTAATATTTGAGAGACAGACTCTAGCTGCTTCCATTCATCACTTGGCTCTCACTTCCAACTTCAACCCTTCCCCCTACCACCTGAAAGGCAATCAAAGATTAAGTGAAAGAGAAAAATATGTCAACATTTCTTTTTTAAAGAAGTCTATTATCTTACAGATTGATAAAATGCCCTAGTAGTTTATATTTACTTAAGGTTTATTTATTTATTTTTTTAACTTTTGATTAGTAGTCCTGTGCTTCTGAGACACTGCACATAGACCCTACATACTCTTGGCTGCAGTCACTCGCAATAAATATGTAGTAGAGCATGACTATAATTTGTGGTTTTTTTCTCCCTCTGCTTATCCTAAGTTCATAGTAGGTGGATTTGTGTACCAGCGTTACTTTTTAGGGCAAGCCAAGGATGGAAGTGACATTTCTCTCTTATGTTCTAAACCTAAAGCAGAAAAAACAATTTTCAAGTATGCAGTTCCATTGTTACCTTAATACTCTAGTATTGGTCAGACCATGTAACCTGACTAGGTAACCGGTATAATTTTGTTTCTTTCTGTTGGTGCCTTTACCTGTAGACATTTCTCATTAAAATTTACTAGTTAAGTAGCTTTGAGCCTCTAAGAATCTTGGCATTTTATTCTGTAAAATGGGAATAATTGTACTAACATAGGATTAAGTGCTATCTATACATTTATATAAAGTTTGTGGCTGACCTATATAAACCCTCCACCAAAAATATAATGATTTGTTATTTTTAAGCATTGAGCAGCTAAGGTTTTCCTGTTTTTAGGAGCATGAATAGACCTATATCTAACACTCTGTCAGCACTACTTATTTGTTAGAGTTCGTACTAGTAAAAACAGGGAAGCAAAAGCAGGAAAAGGGAAACTACGGAATGCATTTTACTATTTATCAATACGTGAATACCATCATCTAATTTTTGAAGAAAGAAAGTTCTATTTTTGAATGATTCTAGACTCTAAGCTTTGTCCATTTTGTAGGATCAATAAAATAATTGCAAATTATTGTCATACTCATTGTCAGTTTGACCTTTTGCAGTAAGAAATGTCTTATTAAGACATTTATTCATTATGGTTTATTCCAGGAAGACGTTTAGGATGTTTATTGTGATTTTACTCTTTGAAAAGAAAAGAATATCGTCATTTTATAATAGTATAATCTGTGACAGTGTAAGGGAAAACAGCTAGTGTATAATTACATTGTCAAATTCCAACAATGCTCAAATTAATCTTATTTGGTTTTGCATTAATCGTATTTTTAGTGAAGATCACCTGACCCTGTACAGAAAATTCAGTACTTTGGCCTGATACCTTATCTAAAAAATGAACTTCTGAAATAAGCCACATGCTTGGTTGTTCTCACATCAAAAATTGTTTCGCAGCATGCACTGAAAATCTTTTTAGAAAAAGATCTCAAAATAGAAACTGCTTTGGGGTTGATTGTTTGCTTTTACTGAAAAGCAAAGGAAAAAAAAATATGGTTAATGTGAATATAAACTCTAAGAATCTCATTCTTGAACAGAATGAATACTGAAAGACTAGAAGATGTAAAATTTCATCAAATGTCAGTCACTTCACACCAATGGCCTTACCATATAGACCTATGGAGTGTTATAAGGCTTTTCTTATTTTTTATTGGAACTACACTGGGAATTACACTAGGAATTATGTCAGTCCTGCAGCAATTTTCAAGAAGCCACAAGTCCATGATCCTGAAACTTTGACTGCTGACAAAAAGTTGCTTGGAGCGGCAGTGTTATTAACAAGCCACCTTTTCTGCACCCCATCTGCACTGGAAGCCATCCCTTGCTCATCACCTCCATCTGTCTCTCTGTACGATGGGGCATGCACACCAGCAGGCTCCGGCCTTGAGGTTCAGTCTGCTGCTGAGTTACTCATCAAACATCCCCTGCTGCATGGACCCCTTACTCTCAGTATTTCAGGCTGCAGTCCATGAGTCAGACAGAAGTGTACTTACCTTCCTTTATAAAAAAGGCTCTCTAGGCAGGAATTTTAATGCCCTAGAAATGAAGATATTTTATGTATGTGCCCGGAGAGATCCACTGGCGCTGTGGGTGTCTCCCCTGAGATTTATGACAACCCGTTAGGGGGGTGGGATCCCTTGATTTTATGCCATCAAGGCTTTGTTCTCTGCACAGTGTCCTCTGAAGACTACCAGCCCTGGACTCTTCTTCAGGCTTTTAAAAGGCCTCCGAGGACTCATAAATTCAGTGCTTCTGGATTAAAGCATGTGATATACATATGTCTACTGTTCTGTTCCCCTCCGGTCTTTTCTTGGTAAAAGACTCTACTTTCACTCTTGCTGCTAGTTATCAAGTGGTGTGCAAGTGACTTACTACAGATTAGTTTTTTTTTTTAAACTGGCACCATAACTGTTACTTTGCTTTAAAATGCTAGTTTATCAGAGTTACTCTTAAGAAGCTTTATTTTCATGGTTTTTAGAAATAATAATAATAATAATTATTATTATTATTATTATTAATTATTTAAGTCTTACCTTCCTGTTCTGAGTAGAAGTAGAGCCCTGTATAGCACGTGTACAAAGTTGGGAAATTTCAATGACTGTCCACAGAACAGGATCATAGACCCCAGAAGTCAT